TGCAGGGTTACGGGCGTAGCAGTCGACGCCCCCAGCAGCAAAGCCAGGGGAGCCTCGATGCCCTAGGGGGCCCCCAAGGGGGCCCCCAAGGGGGCCCCCCAGGGGGCCCCCCAGGGAACCCTCGGGGGGAGGGGCCCCATAGACACCTGCTGGTGCTGCTGCTGCTGCAGGCCCTTGAGAGAAACCGCCAGCAGCAAGCGGCGGTGGTGCTGCTGCTGCAGCAGGACGACGAGAGGGGTACGGGGGCCGCTCCGGGGGGGGTTGCCCCTGAGCTTGTCTATGAGGAAGCTGCATTCGAGCTGAGAGGAGAATTTCCTCTCTGCTTTTGCTGCGTGTTGTGCAGAAACGAGCGACAGCAGAAAAGCTAATTCAGAAACTCCTCAGGGGGTGATAGAAACCTGGCGGGGGGAAATGCATGCATGCAAGTGCTTATATAGAAGAAAAGAAGAAAATAAACCGAAAAATATAAAAAAACACAAAAGAAAATACAGAAGATCAGTAGACACCGCAAGAAACCACACGAAACAATGCAGGCCGTCACACCGAGGCCGTACAGCCACCAGCAAACAGAAACGCAGCAGGTAGCATCCAGCAGCAGATATTTTGAATTTTTTGAATATATGAAAACGACTTACTCAAGTTTTCCTGAATTTCAGTGATGTGGCGCCGCTCTTCTTCGTTTTGTTGCAACTCAGGCGGCGGCAGCGGAAAGCGAGAGAAAGCCCCAAAGCCAGGCGAGTCGGCCAGCCCCATTGAAGAGAATTCGAAATCTTGTTATATTACAAAAAGAAAAGAAACAATAAAATTCTGTTTCTTCTCTTTCCAGCATCCCCGTAAATACCCGCGGTTGAGCTGCCTATACACCCCACGCCTGTGCGACATCTACATCGTCCGATCTTCGGGTTTCCGCACATTATCGTTGAGTAAAAACTCTTTATTTTTTCTTTTTAAAGTATTTAATATCGAATAGTTCAAAAGGAATTTAAAAAGGTCGATTGCGATGACTGGTTTGGTGGTAGCATCACCCCCGCTGTTAGCTTTCCTGCGGCAGCTCGTCTGAAACAAGAGCTGCGGTGTATTGCCGCCTATTTGAATTTTTTTTTTTTGCATTTATTTATTTCAAACAATTCAAATGCTCACAGATATGCGACAAAGCGGCAGGCTTATGCGGGCCCCCGCAAGGCCTCGGCTGACGAACCAACAAACAGAAACCTGGGTAACTCAGATGCTGCAAGCTGTAAGCGTGCAAAACGGAGAAACTTTCTCTGCGTTGATCCGCGATATCAACACTATCATTCCTGATGAAGAAATCGAGAATATGCCAGAGGTAAGCACACATACAGCAGCACAAGCAGCAGCAGCAGCAGAAAAAAAAAAAAAAAAAAAAAAAAAAAAAAAAAAAAAAAAGAAACCTCTTGCTTCTTTTTGTTATCTTGTATACATCCATAGAAAGCTAACAGACACTAAAAGAAGACTATAACTCCTTGGATTTCATTGATATATTATTATTCTTTTTTTTTTGTTTTTATTATATTTGTTGTATTCAGAATGTAATGAACGGCATAATAAACGGAAAAATGCAGCATTTGTGTGGAGCAAAAGGATCAAAGGAATCTGCGTTGCGTCGTTTGTTATTTGGTTTTTTACGACTAAGACAGTTGCGGTGTACATACAGATGGGGAGATATAGTGCAGCAATGTGTATTGCTGCTAGATACATATGTTGATTTTTATGTAGAGATTCCTGCATCTTGCTGCAACTGGTTGGTTTCTGGTTTAGCTGTTTTATGTACAACGATGAATAGAGTAGCAGTTGCAGCAGATAGATACAGCAGCGACTCTCCCTACATGCCTGACGAAACCCCATCATCAGCAGCAGCAGCAGCAGCAGGAGCAGCAGCAGCAGCAGCAGGAGATACAGGAGAAGCCGAGGAAAACCAAAATAAATATACAAAAGAAATACTAAATGCTATAAGGCCTAAACTAGGTAAAGTAAGAGCCGAAGAGGGCAGACAGGGCGCCTATGTTGTGCTTCTTGGGCACAGCATCAAACGATCACTACAACTAGGAAATATGCAAATGGCTGCAGGATTCCTCAAACTATGCGACTCAAGGTCAGCTTTTTCTCTTTTTTTATCTCTTTTTATTTGTTTATTTTTATTTAGTTTTATTTATTTTTATTTATTTACTTAGTTTTGTTCTTTTTTTTCTATTTTTAGCCGTATATGTGGTATGGTGGGGTGTATGCAAACATGCAAATGGCTGCAGGATTCCTCAAACTATGCGACTCAAGGTCAGCTTTTTCTCTCTTTTTATTTGTTT